GGGGGTGCTGAGTCTGGGGGTGCTGAGCCTGGGGGTGCTGCGACTGGGGGTGCTGAGCCTGGGGGTGCTGAGCCTTGGGGTGCTACATCAGGAGCTACTGAGCCAGGGGGTGCTGCGTCTGGAGCTGCTGAGCCTGGAGTTGCGGAGCCTGCGGCCACTGGACCACCCCTTGTGGCGTCTGGCGGTGCTGGGCCTGGAGGTTCTCAGGGTGCTTCGGCTCGGCGGGAGCCACTCTCTCCACAGGAGCTGCGCGAGTGATTTGCTCGCCGCTGGAGGCGTACTGTTGGAGCTGGAGCTTCTTCGGCCGCTGAGGGTACTTGTGCCGTCGGTCCCGGAGCTACTGGGCCTTCGAGTCCGCCTAGAGCTGGAGCTGCTGCGGGTGTTGGTGCTGAGACTGCTGCTATCCTTCCTGGCGGTGGTCCTGCAGCGGGTGCTGCTGGTGCTGCTGGAGGTCCTGCAGCTGGAGGTGCTGTTGGCGCTGGTGCTGCCGCTGAGGGTGCTGGTGCTGTCCCTGCTGTGTCTGGAGTTGCCGCGCGGCCTCTGCCGTACTTCGTTCCGCTCCTGCAGCAGGTTCTTGGTCTTTCTCCTCCTGTAGAGTGTCCACCGCCTGTCCAGTCACAGTCCCAGTTAGAGCCCGCCTCCCCACTTCCTGCTCCCTCTCCTTACACTGGTCCTACTGGAGTTCTTGCTGAGCGTCGTGAGCCTTCGTCTCGTCCCGCGTCGCCTGTTCGTGCTGCTCGAGCTAGTGGTCACGGTTCGCGTCAGCGTCCTCCTCCTTTCCCTGGCACGCACCGGATGTCTCTGCGTCCGTCCACTGCTCCTCTGCGTGTCCCTTTACCTTCTCCTCCTGCGTCCTCTCTTCCTGCGCTTGCCGACCCGGAGTCGGACTCTCTTCGTGCTGCCAGTCCTACTGTCATGCGTCTCCTTGCTACTGTCGTCACTGACCCCTCTTTTGAGTCCACTGTTGCGTCTGCTCTTGTTGCTGAGCTCGTCGACTTTGCTTCTCGCTGTCGTCTCGACTACGCTGCTAGTCTTGTTGCTGAGTCTGCGTCTGTCTGTCCTGCGTCCGTCGGGGGTGAGTGTGCTCTTGGCACGGACGTCCTTGAGGACAGGCAGGAGGAGTTCCAGTGTCTGGCTGCTGCTTCACCTCATCTCGCGTCCGTACTGCTTGCCCCTGAGGGAGACCCGGATGCACTAGACATCCCGACTCCGTGCTCTTACGCGGATGCCGTAGAGGGTCCCTACTCCTCTTAGTGGCAGGCAGCTATGGATGCAGAGATGGCTTCCTGGAAGTCCACAGGCACCTACGTTGACGCGGTTCCCCCTCCTGGGGCGAACATCGTCAGTGGCATGTGGATCTTCAGGGTGAAGCGGCCGCCTGGCTCTCCACCTGTCTTCAAGGCGCGGTACGTCGCTCGTGGCTTCAGTCAGCGGCAGGGAGTTGACTACTTTCAGACCTTCTCTCCCACCCCGAAGATGACCACTCTTCGGGTGCTGCTGCACATAGCCGCTCAGCGTGACTACGAGCTTCACTCTCTTGACTTCAGCACTGCTTTCTTGCAGGGTAGCCTGCACGAGGAGATCTGGCTGCGCCGTCCACCTGGCTTCACTGGGACTTTCCCTCCTGGCACCCAGTGGAGCCTCCGACGGCCAGTCTACGGTCTCTGCCAGGTACCGCGTGAGTGGCACGACACACTGAGGACTACGCTTGCGGCTCTTGGGTTTGCTCCCTCTACTGCTGACCCGTCGTTGTTTCTGCGCACCAACACCTCTCTGCCGCCGTTCTACGTCCTCGTGTACGTCGACGACTTGGTCTTTGCCACAGCTGACACTGCTGGACTCACCTACGTGAAGTCCGAGCTGCAGAAGAGACACACGTGCACAGACCTGGGTGAACTGCGCAGCTATCTTGGCTTGCAGATCACCCGGGATAGAGCACAGCGCACCATTACCCTGACTCAGTCACACATGGTGCAGCAGGTCCTTCAGCGCTTCGGCTTCACGTACTCCTCGCCTCAGGCCACACCTCTGTCTACTCGCCACTCGCTCTCAGCTCTGCCTTCGGATGAGTCTGTAGAGTCGAGTGGCCCGTACCCAGAGCTTGTTGGCTGCCTCATGTACCTGATGACCTGCACACGACCTGACCTTGCATACCCTCTTAGCATTCTTGCACGCTATGTTGCTCCTGGGAGACACCGACCAGAGCACATGGCTGCAGCGAAGAGGGTGTTGCGCTACTTGTGCAGTACATCGGGCATGGGGCTAGTGCTTGGAGGGCGGAGTCCAGTGGTCCTCACTGGGCACGCGGACGCGTCTTGGGCTGACGACCAGGCTACTCAGCGATCGTCACAGGGTTACACCTTCAGTCTTGGTTCCGGCTCTGTTTCGTGGCGGGCTACTCGCCCGTCTTCTGTTCTCGGCTCCAGTTGTGAAGCTGAGATCTACGCCGGGGCCATGGCTGCTCAGGAGCTTCGCTGGCTCACCTACCTGCTGATTGACCTTCGAGAGCCGCCTCGTTCTCCTCCAGTGCTGTACGTAGACAACAAGGCCATGTTGGCCTTGTGTCGAGAGCAGCGCCTGGAGCACAGAACGAAGCACATTGCTCTCCGCTACTTTCTTGCTCGTGAGTTGCAGCACCGTGGTCAGTTGCGACTTGCGTACGTGGCCTCTGAGGCCAACACTGTTGATGTTTTCACCAAGGCACTTCCGCCTTGTGATCATCAGCGCTTCTGCACTCAGCTGGGACTTGTACCTGTCTTACCTCACTTGCTCACCTCTTGATCTTACTTGTATTGTTGCATATATATATATACCTGCTCTTGCTTGTTTAGTGTTATATATATATGTGCACTCCTGCATGTGAACTGGCCTTGTGGCCTTGACTTGGTGCTCGGACTGTGTGGTGACTTTGTGATCCACCCTGAGCTTGCTTTGCTTTGCTTGACTGGTCTTGTGACCCCTTGTTCTCCCCCAATTTGCCTATGGGGGTGTGTCAGAACATATAGCTTTTGCATATTGTGTAGGCTATAGTGGGGTAGCCCATAAGGGGTACAACCCAATTAGGGTTAGTACTTGTACTCACTTCATTCATAGTTCATTCATTCATTGCTCAACTCTTCTCACTCCAGGCACTAGTGGACAGTGGTGCGTCCCACTCGGTGTGCAATTGCGGGACGTTGGAGAAAATTGGAGAACCTTCGGAGGAGACTAGGTTCAAGGCAACGATGGTGGATGGTACGAAACTTCCCATCCACGGCGAAGCATCACTGCAGCTGCACATAGGGGCGCTGAGGTGGAAGCCGACGTTGTTGATCACGAACATCAAAGGTTTAGATTTCATCTTGGGGCGAGATTTCCTGAAGCGGTTCAGCCCCGAGATCGACTGGGTCAAGTGCATCTACAACGGGAAACGAGTGGAGCTGCGAAGCTGGACGGATACAGGGAATATTCCTGAAACGACATTGGCATGGTTCGAACGGGCGGTGAACAAGAGTAACACGGGTTAGCTAGCACTGGTGACAGCAGCAGCAAAGGAGGAGAAGCCCAACGCAGAACTATCTGCAGCAGTGAAGGAGGTATTGGAGGAGTACAAAGACATCATGCCCGACGACCTACCCGCAGGCGTACCTCCAACGCGCACCCAAGAACACGAGATCGTAGAGGAACCGGGTGCAAAACCCATCTCACGTGCACCATACAGTCTGAGACCGACCGAACTAACAGACATGAAGAAGCAGATAGAGTATCTACTGGGCAGACAACTGATCCGCCCATCCACCTCTCCCTACGGTGCACCCGTTCTCTTTACTCCAAAATGTCAGAACATTATAGCTTATACATTTGTGTAGGCTGTAGTGGGGTAGCCCATAAGGGGTACAACCCAATTAGGGTTAGTACTTGTACCCAACTGTTTCATAATCATTCATCCATTCTCATTTCTCGTCATGGTATCGAGCAGGTTCCCGAGTGGGAATACTGCCTAGGGCCCACCACGAATTTTTCTTCCCTGCCCGGAGCGCGCTTCGCTCCTACCCGAGTAGCGCCTCGAGCCGCCCTTAGTGGCCCCCTTTGGCCGCCCTTACGGCCCCTCGCGCCGCCTTCTACGGCCCCTCCCGCCGCCCTTACGACCCCGTCTGGCCCCTTACGGCCCCGCTTAGGCCCCTTACGGCCCCGTCGCGGCCTCGCCTAGGCCCCTCCGCGGCCCCGTCTGGCCACTTACGGCCCCTTACGGCCCCGCCTAGGCCCCTCCGCGGCCCCGTCGTGCCCCTTCGCGGCCCCGCCTAGGCCCCTCCGCGGCCCCGTCTGGCCCCTTATGGCCCCTTATGGCCCCGCCTAGGCCCCTTTCGGCCCCTTCACGACCCCGCCTAGGCCCCTCCGCGGCCCCGTCTGGCCCCTTACGGCCCCTTACGGCCCCGCCTAGGCCCCTTACGGCCCCTTCACGGCCCCATCTAGGCCCCTCCGCGGCCCCGTCTGGCCCCTTAACGGCCCCGTCTGGCCCCCTTTACGGCCCCGCTACGGCCCCGTCTGGCCCCTTTACGGCCCCGTTTAGGCCCCTCTGCGGCCCCGTCGCCACCTGCGGCCCCGTCGCCACCTACGGCCCCGTCGCCACCTGCGGCCCAGCCGCCACCTGCGGCCCCGTTGCCACCTGCAGCCCCGCCGCCACCTGCGGCCCCGTCGCCCTACCTTAGCGGTCGAGCTGCACAGCAGCCGAGCCGCCCGCCCGCCGAGCAGCCGAGCCGCCCAACAGCCGAGCCGCCCTGCCGCCGAGCCGTCCAGCAGCCGAGCCGCCCTGCCGCCGAGCCGCCCAGCAGCCAAGCCGCCCTGCCGCCGAGACGCCCAGCAGCCGAGCCGCCCTACCGCCGAGCCGCCCAGCAGCCGAGCCGCCATGCCGCCGAGCCACCGAGCTGCCCTACTCTCTAGCATCTGTTGTTCCTACCGGTGCTCCCCGGCCCCTCCTTCCTCAGACTGGTGAGCTCACTTCCTCCTAGGCCACTGCAGTCATGGCTACCCCCAGTGTCCTCACTTTTGATGCTGAGGGCCGTGCCGTTGACTCTGAGGTCTGGGTCGATGACCTCCAGCTGTTTTTTCAGTGCGATAGGGCGGACGGCCTCTCCCTGTTTGACCTCACTTCTGGTGCCTCCCCTGCCCCTACTGCTGATGCAAATGCCACTGTTCGCTCACAGTGGGCCACGCACGATGCTGCTGCTCGCCTTGCTGTGCCCCGCCACTTACCGACCACTGAGCGTGCGCACTTTAGCCAGTACAAGAGTGCTCAGACCTTGTACGACGCTGTAGTTGCACGCTACTCTTCCCCTGCCACTGCTGCACTGAGCCGCCTCATGCTACCGTACCTCTTCCCTGACCTTGCTTCCTTTCCCACAGTCGCTGACCTCATTACGCACCTCCGCACTAGTGACACTCGCTACCGCGCTGCGCTTCCTGCTGAGTTCTGCGCCAAGAACCCCCCCCCCCCATGTACATCACCCTCTACTACATAGTCACTCGGCTCCCTGACTCTCTCCGCGTAGTCAGGGACCACTTCCTCTCAGTTTGCCCCACCACTCTCACCGTTGACCTCCTCGAGAAGGCCCTCCTAGTGATAGAGAAGAGCATAGTCGCTCTAGGAGCCTCTCGTGGTGACCCTCGCACCCCCGTCTTTGAGGGGTGTTCTCCCTCCCCCCTCTTGCCCTCTGTTGCCTCTGCTGCTGTGGCCGACCTCGTTGGTTTCGAGTCGGTCGGCGCTGCGTCTGCCCCAAGCGGGAGACGCCGCACCGGCAAGGGCAAGGGGGGCAAGGGCGCTGGAGGGGCTGGAGGGGGCGATGGAGGTGGTGGTGGAGGTAGTGGAGGGAGTGGGGGTGGTGGTGGGAGTGGTGCCGGGGTTGGCGGCGGCGGCGGCAGCAGTGGAGGCGGCGGAGGCAGTGGAGGTGGCGGAGGGAGCGGAGGCGGCGGAAGTAGTGGAGGAGGCGGAGGTGGAGGAGGCGGCGGAGGCGGCGGCGGCGGCGGAGGCGGCGGTGGTGGAGCGGGTCGCGACTCTGCGCAGAGGAGTGGCGCCGGTGGTGGTCAGCGCCAGCAGCAGCAGCGGAGTGGTGTGACCCTGTCCCCTCAGCAGCTTCGTGAGTGGTACACTGCGCGTCAGCGCGGTGGGGGTTTTGGTCCCTGCGCTTACGTCCTCCGTACCGGCGGCCGCGCTGGTGAGCAGTGCGGAGGCCCGCACTCCACCCAGCGCTGCTTTGGTCGCCTGACGGACGCGTGGCGTCGCCAGTTCCCAGAGGTGTCAGAGATCCCTCGCTGGGGAGATCTGACTAAGGCCGGGGTTGCTATCTTTGATCTTGACTTTGATGCTATTCTTGCTGCTATGTATGCTGTTGATACTAGTGTTAAGGGTGCCTGTTACCTGTGTGTACCGCCTGACTCGGCCATTGAGGCCGCTGCTCTAGGTGCTGGTGAGGCTGCTGCTCTAGGTGCCAGTGCGTCTGCTGCCCCAGGTGCTGGTGTGTCTGCTCTCTCAGGTACTGCGTCGGCTCAGGCCTTCCACATCTTCACCCTGGACTCGGGTGCGTCGCGCTCCTTCTTTCGAGACCGCACCACTCTTACGCCGCTCAGTCGGCCGGTTGCAGTCTCCCTTGCAGACCCCTCTGGGGGTCCTGTCCTTGCTAGCTTCTCCACTGTCCTACCGTGCCCGGCAGCCCCCTCTGGCACCCTGTCAGGTCTCTACCTCCCCTCGTTCTCTACAAACTTGGCCACGTTCACCCGTCGGCCAGGGTCGAGCCTGTACACCCTTACTTCTGAGTCTCCTTCGGCTGCTGAGTGTGCCCAGGTAGCTGCGTCGAGTTAGGTGTTTGCTGCGGCGTCCAGGTCCGGTCCTGAGTCTGCTCCGTGCTCGTGTCGTCTCCTGTCCCACCAGACTCTCCTTTGGCACCACCGCCTTGGTCACCCCTCCTTGTCTCGCCTCCGAGGCATGGCCTCCCGTGTCCTTGTCTCTGGTCTCCCTCGGTCTCTCCCTCCCCTTCCTCCGGGGCCTGGCCCTACCTGCGTCCCCTGCGTCGAGGGGCGAGAGCGCGCCGCCCCTCACTCCTCTAAGTTTCCTCCGACAGAGGCTCCACTGCAGACTCTCCACAAGGACGTGTGGGGCCCAGCTCGCGTCAGTGGGCAGGGACGCGAGTGGTACTTCCTGCTGGTGGTTGACGACTACTCGCGTTACACCACTGTCTTCCCCTTGCGCAGCAAGGGTGACGTCACTGAGGTGTTGATCGACTGGATCCGCGCAGCTCGTCTACAGCTCAGAGAGAGTTTCGGCTCGGACTTTCCTGTTCTGCGTCTGCACTCGGACAGAGGCGGGGAGTTTTCCTCTGCCCGTCTGGGAGCCTTCTGTCGTGCACAGGGCATCCGCCAGACCTTCACGCTTCCGGCCTCTCCACAGCAAAATGGGATTGCTGAGCGCCGCATTGGCATGGTCATGGACGTCGCTCGTACGTCCATGATGCATGCGGCTGCCCCCCATTTTCTGTGGTCGTTTGCGGTTCAGTACGCCGCGCATCAGCTCAACCTTCAGCCCCGGGTCTCCTTGCCAGAGACCTTCCTCGCCTTGCGGTGGACCGAGAAGGTTGGCGATGCGTCTGCGTTTCGAGTCTGAGGATCTCGGGCGTTTGTCCGCGACTTGTCTGCGGACAAGCTGTCCCCCCGTGCTGTTCCCTGCGTCTTCCTTGGCTTCCCCCCTGACGCGCCTGGCTGGCAGTTTTACCACCCCACCTCGCGCCGTGTTCTTTCCTCCCAGGACGTCACCTTTGACGAGTTGGTACCTTACTACTGTCTCTTCCCCTACCGCACTGCGTCTCTCCCCCCGCCGCCGCTCTTCCTTGCACCAGGTCCTCCCCTGGTAGACCCCCTCCTCCCTCAGGGTCCTGCCCCATCAGGTGTGTCCCAGGTAGACGCAGTCGAGCCTGTCAAGGTAGCTGTTGACTCAGGTACTGCTAGAGGTGCTGAGCCTGCGGGTGCCGGGTCTGGGGGTGCTAAGTCTGGGGGTGCTGAGACTGGGGGTGCTGAGCCTGGGGGTGCTGAGTCTAGGGGTGCTGAGCCTGGGGGTGCTGGGTCTGGGGGTGCCGAGCCTGGGGGTGCGGAGCCTGGGGGCGTTGGGTCTGCTCGTGTGGCCGCCGGCGGTGCTTCGTCGAGGCGGGAGCCGCTCTCTCCATAGGAGCTGCGCGAGTGGTTTGCCCGCCGTTGGAGACGTGCTGCTGAGACTGGGGGTACTCTTGGGGCTACTGGAATTGGTCCTACTGGAGCTGCTGGCGGTACTGGTGCTACTAGAGCTGGAGCTGCTAGGGGTGATGGCGCTGGTGTTTCTACTAACGCTGGTGCGTCTGGGGGTGCTGCTGAGGCTGCTGGAGCTGACGGTCCTACTGGAGCTGGTGCTACTGGAGCTGGAGCTGCTGGGGGTGTTGGCGCTGGTGGTGCTGCTGGCGCTGGTGCTTCCGAGGGCGCTGGTGTTGGCGCTGGTGGAGCTGGAGGTACTGCTGGCGCTGGTGCTGCCGATGGGGGTAATGGTGCCGTCCTTGCTGGTTCTGGAGGCGCTGAGCGGCGAGGCCGTACTTCAACTCCTGGAGCAGGTTCTTGGTCTCCCGCCCTCTCCTGGTCCTGCTCCTTCCTTAGAGTGTCCACAGCCTGTCCAGTCGCAGTCACAGTTATAGCCCGCCTCCCCTTTACCTGCTCCTTCTCCCTACACTGGTCCTACTGGAGGTCTTGCTGAGCGTCGTGAGCCTTCGTCTCGTCCTATGTCGCCTTTTCGTGCTGCTCGCACTAGTCGTCGTGCTGCGCATCCGCGTCCTCCTGCGGTCCCTGGCACACACCAGATGGCACTGCGTCCTTCCACTGCTCCTCTGCGTGTCCCGTTGCCGTCTCCTCCAGAGTCCTCTCTTCCTTCTCTTGCTGACCCGGAGTCTGACTCCCTTCGTGCTGCTAGTCCTTCGGTCACGCGCCTTCTTGCTACTGTTGTCACTGACCCTTCCTTTGAGTCCACTGCTGCGTCTGCTCTAGTTGCTGAGCTTGTCGACTTCGCTGCTCGCTGTCGTCTAGACTATGATGCTAGTCTCGTTGCTGAGTCTGAGTCTGTCTGTCCTCCGTCCGTCGAGGGTGAGTGTGCTCTTAGCACAGACGTCCTTGAGGACAGGCAGGAGGAGTTCCAGTGCTTTGCGGCTGCTTTGCCCCATCTCGTGTCCACGTTGATTGCCCCTGAGGGAGACCCGGATGCACCAGACATCCCGACTCCTCGATCGTACGCTGAGGTGATCGAGGGTCCCTACTCCTCTCATTGGCAGTCGGCCATGGACGCAGAGATGGCTTCTTGGAAGTCCACAGGCACCTACGTCAACGAGGTTCCCCCACCTGGGGCGAACATCGTCAGTGGCATGTGGATTTTCAGGGTGAAGCGGCCGCCGGGTTCTCCGCCTGTCTTCAAGGCGCGTTACGTGGCTCGAGGCTTCAGTCTGCAGCAGGGAGTTGACTACTTTCAGACCTTCTCTCCCGCCCCGAAGATGACCACTCTTCAGGTGCTGCTGCACATAGCCGCTCAGCTCGACTACGAGCTTCACTCTCTTGACTTCAGCACAGCTTTCCTGCAGGGCAGCCTGCCCGAGAAGATCTGGCTGCGCCGCCCTCCTGGCTTCACTGGGTCGTTTCCTCCTAGTACCCAGTGGAGTCTCCGGCGGCCAGTCTACGGTCTCCGCCAGGCGCCCTGTGAGTGGCACGACACACTGAGAACTACACTTGCGGCTCTTGGCTTTGCTCCTTCTACAGCCGACCCGTCGCTGTTTCTGCGCACCGACACCTCTTTGTCGCCGTTCTACATCCTCGTGTACGTCTACGACTTGGTCTTTGCCACTGTTGACACTGCTGGACTCGCCCATGTGAAGTCAGAGCTGCAGAAGAGACACACGTGCACAGACCTGGGTGAACTGCGCAGCTACCTTGGCTTGCAGATCACCCGGGACAGAGCACGCCGCACCATTACCCTGACTCAGTCACACATGGTGCAGCAGGTCCTTCAGCGCTTCGGCTTCACGTACTCCTTGCCTCAGGCCACTCCTCTGTCTACTCGCCACTCGCTCTCTGCTCTGCCTTCGGATGAGTCCGTAGAGCTACACAACAAGGCAAATGCGTTAAGCCGCACCGGACATGTAGCAGGCATCCAGCTCGACAGGATGAACCCTCTGCTCAAGGGTCTATTGCAACATGGGTACTCCGTAAACGCAGAGATCGCTACAGCACAGACTAAGAAGCTATTATAGTGGGAAAAAGACTTAGCTGTAAGGAAGGGAACAGGAAAGATTTGGGTACCGAACTATGCCCCGCTCCGACAGATTCTACTGGAGGAGTTTCATGACGTACCATACGCGGGACATTTCGGGCGCAACAAGACGTTAGCAGGGATAACGAAGTATTACTACTGGCTTGGGATGGCAGCAGACGTGCATCAGTTCGTCACCTCATGCGACACGTGCCAGTGGATGAAGAGTAGCAAGCAGAAAAAAGCAGGGTTACTTCAGCCTCTACCCTTACCGGAGCAACCATGGCGAGTCGTTAGCGTTGACTTCATCACGAAACTTCCTTTGACCTCATGAGGCCATGACGCCATCCTCGTAGTGATCGATAAGTTCTCCAAAATGGGCTACTTCATCCCGACCAACGCTACGGCTACAGCTGAAGAAACTGCTCGCCTCTTCTTCGACCGCATCATCACCATCCACAGCATCCCGGCTAAACTCATCTCAGGCAGAGACCCAAAATTCACTAGTAAGTTCTGGAGGGAGCTCATGGGACTATTGGGGACTAAGCTTGCGATGTCTTCAGCATACCATCCCCCGACTGATGGACTCAATCATGTGGTTGAACAGTTACTGCGCACAGCTGGCAAAGACGACGTCAGCCACTGGGACACACAGTCACCGACCTTAGAGTTCGCTTACAACAACGCGCCACATGCGGCCACAATGAAATCTCCTTTCTTCCTGTTTTACGGACGGGAACCACTCACACCACAGCAGCCAACCACACCGGCACACGTCCAAGTCGCACATGACTTCGTCACCACCATGCAGCAGCTATGGGAGAAGACTCAGCGACGTCTCACCACGAAGCATTATGCCGATCGCCAGCAACGTGATCACTTAGCAGTAGTCGGAAATCAGGTGCTTCTTGACACGCGTAACTTGAACCTATCTCACCTACCATCCAAACTCTGGCCTCGCTTCTGTGGTCCTTTTCTCCTTGAGGCACAGATAACAACAGTAACATTCCGCTTGCACTTACCTACTACGTGGAAGCTTTACAAAGTTTCCATGTTCAGCTACTGAAGCCCTACAAGGACCCCAACCAGCAGTTGCAGGGACGACAACTACTGCCAACACCACCTGTTCTCATGCAGGATGAACCAGAGTTCGAAGTGGAGCGCGTTCTCACTTATCGACGCCGCGGTGGCAAGACCCTCGAGTTCCTGATATGCTGGAAGGGACATGACCCCACTAAGGACAGTTGGGTTGTAGAAGCTGATATGGGCAACGCACGCTGTGCTCTCAAGGACTATCTTATCAAGCAGGGTGTATCTCACGCCACCCAGCTTTGAGGGGGGGACGTGTGAGAGTACGACGGCTTATGCTGGCTTTGCTAGCTTTCCTGGACTTTATCATGCTCTAATTAACTTGGGTTTATTTTATCATGCATAGATATGCTTGATTTCCTAGGTTAGGTGCATTCCTATATTTTGTTATAGTTATAGCACCGAACCAGGTTTCGTGTACCAAACGCAAGCCTATTCGGTTTCCACCGAATTGCTTTCTACCGAGTTCGGAAAGGTTCTGTTCAGGACGCTTCGTGACCCTCAGAATATTCGCGTAACACCTGGGTTACCTGCCTTGTGTCGAGCCTATATATAGCCTCGTGTTGTACCTAGGTGATGTCAAAGTTTAGAAGTAGAAAGTGAGAATGAAGAAAGAGGGGTTCACTAGCAAGCAGTTGGATACAAATAGCAAACCCTAACTGGGTTGTACTCGCTATGGAGCACCCCACTGCAGGCTAGATAACATAGCATT